GCCTAGCCGCAGAATCAGTAACCAAGCATAGGATTAGTCAATGTTCTTTATGCCTGGACCAAAGGGTAAAGAATAAGTATGCTCCTATTTGGCACAATATAAATTGAACTAATTCATTTTATCCATTTACTATAATTTCTTGGCAAGGAGAAGGATGCTTTCTTATATATTGAATATCATAAATTTAACCCTACTTTCTATCATTAGTTATTTATTAGTTATCCAAATTATCTACTTATTTCGATTACCTATTAGTGACAGATAAACAAATTGAACGTCGTCGTTGCAGTTAAAGTATTATTTTTAGTCTTAGTCCGTAGTATTTTATTTCTCCCTGTGTGATTGATAACTAGGACTCCAACTCCATTAGAGTCCTATATTACTTGAGCGATACGTATACTTGCGTTGACAAATTCGACTTTGACATTATTAAATATTATATCTATACATTTTTATTAAATCAAACACATATATATAAAGTCGTAGTCAAGATTTTGACACCGTTGCTGGAATTTAAATCTTTTAGTAGCGTCATCAAATTCTTGTAATTGTCGATTTACAAAAAGAAAAAGGTCGGTCAGTTGTCAACATAACAAAAGTAATGGAGAACTAATAAAAGTATTAATATTGAAAACATTCATCTTAGAAAAATAAGGTGAAGACATGTTAGAGTGATGTAAATGATTAAAAATTAGGAGTGACAAATTTAATGTCTCTCATCCTCACCACATCCGAAGCTTCTCCATCAGCCAAATATACCTTATAGTTTCGCATTAACTTCTGGTTGGAAGTCGTATGGAAAGAAACATCTCAATTTAGTATCCAATTATCAATATAACTATGAACCGTCAGCAATAGTGCATCATGTACTTCTTCAGTTACAACATTAGCTCTATCATTCTCAGTATTATTCAGATTTCTGTAGTTCCTTTTTATGTGGTCAGCTTTACCATAATTTCAGTATGTTGTTTGTTGACCAAACTTTGATTTGCTATTATCTCTGTGTTTTGATTTTGATCTTTCTCTGTTCGAGTTCATATCATGTGATCTTCCATTGGAATTAACATTCAGTGTCGAACTCAAACTCAAGATCTCGCTAGAGTCTTTTATGCACACATCCTCAGTCAAAATCAAATCACAAATATCATCAAATTTCAGCTTAGATTTACCTGTGAGATTGCTAACTGTCATCCTCATGATTTTCCAGCTATTTGACAATAAGGTCAGCAATATCAACACACATATCTATTTGTCAAAATCAATTTCAACATACGACAATTGATTTGTGGTGGTTTTGAAATCATTCAGATGCTGAGCGACAGACGCGCCTCCCACCATCTTTATATTGAATAAGATTTTCATCAAGTGCACATTGTTATTCCCTCCTGATTTTTTATACATATCTGATAAAGCTGTCATGAGAAGTACATCAGTCATTTCCTTAATGACGTTGTGGAAACAAATTTTGACAGACTTAATCAAACAACCCTCAGAATCTATCGATACAACATATTTCAACCAGTCTCATCCATCTTTTCCTGTCAATTTCCCAAGAGCAAAAGATAAAATTTCTTCCCATAGTGGTGGTCCTCTATCTGCATCATTAAGTAACCAAAATTTGTGTCATCTGATTTTTTGATCCCTGATGTCATCACTGCATCTCCAACCATTGTTTTTCCCTGATTCGAACCAGAGCTCTGATATCAATTGTTGTGAAAAAACTAACGACAATAAAGTGAAAAATTAGAACGAGAAAATTTACAAAATATAAACATAACGAAATACACAGATTTACGTGGTTCGTCAAATTTTTTATGTCAACGAAGTTGCAAAGGATTTTATTAGCTCAAGAAATTACGCCGTCGAGCATCTTGACATTTGCAAGGAAACTCTTTCTTGCTTCCTCTCTCTCTACATCTTCCCGAGAGATGCAAAGCAAAAAAAAGACGATAAACAGAAAGACTTGCTGTATATTTCTATTTTCCGTAAGCTCACCTAAGAGAGCATAAAACTCGATACTATTAACTCCAACCAAAGAAGCTTTTAATGCTAATTTTGGTTCATAAAGGAAAACCTCTAGAATTCACGAGATCAGAGGAGAAGCGAGCGGTGGGAGCTTGATTCATGAATCCATGGGAGAAGCGAGAACTTAATTAATTTACAACGATTAATTAAGAAAGCAAATAACAATAAAATAATTAATCTAGATAATTTCTTAAGATGCACAATACCACCCAATTTGGATGCGGTGGATCAGGCTCCACATAACACAACATATAGTTCCCCTGAAGAGTATTTAGATCTACAGGGAAAGACGAAGTCTCTTGTGGATCACCGGTGGTGAGGAGTAAATGTAGCGAATATTTTATAGGACAAGTTCCCCTTGCGTTTTTGCTGGGAGTGTGTCTCTGAAGAGTTTTTACTTGGTTTTGATTGTCTTCGTATTGGTGGCACGATCCAAGCTCACCGAGTCATTTCGGATGTTGAATCTAGTAGATCGTGCCCAAGGAATAGAGAGTGAGATTGAGGAAAGAAAAACGAGGGAGGGAGAGAAAAAAGAGAGAGTGGAAGAGAAAAAGATGAAGACTTTGGGGTGTTTCCAGACTCATGAACCCATTTTATTAAAAAAAAAATATATGTTGAAAGCGTGGTAACCAAAAAACCCTTTTAAATGAAAGGGTTCTCATATTTATAGATGATAGAAAAATCAAAAAGTAAATTACAATACTATAATTGTTTTAAAAGGGTAGTACAAATTATTTTAATCTTTTGTTTTGATGTGTTATACTGGGTACTTTATCGAACATTGAATCTATTATTCAGGAGATTTTCTATTAGGAGAAATTGGGTTTCGATGGCTAGTCGGAGAAAACAGTCATTCGTCGGAGGGAATAGTCATTCGTCGAAGGGAAGAAGCTCTCTATCAAAGGGAAAGATCCTCTGTCGAGGGGAATAGTCCTCTGTCGACCCTTCGTTGGGGGCGGGGGGAGTCATATGTCGGAGGAAAAATCAAATGAGGGTAGTCAATTCGATGGAAGCATACTACAAATTGTCTTGAGATTCGTTCGAAACATTCTTGAATATACAAATGATATATAGATAAATCGTCTGATTCTCACAAATTTATATTTTGAGCTATGAGCTACCCAAGTTGATCTTTTGATTCTGGATCAATTTTGATTGTTAACCCGGCCCAAGGAGATATTTGATAGCATTATTTAATTAGAATTTAGGCATTGATTTATGATAAATTCAATTAAATATTTGAAAAATATAAATTTAATCTACTACTCTTTTAATTTAAAATTTTATGCGCTTAGTTCTAGTTATTGTCCGTCCCTGAATTTAAATTTTGTTAAATACAATTACTCTGCCGTGGTCGGCTCCCACTCCTATCGTAAGAAGATTTGATTAGTCATATTTAATATAAAATAAAGGTGCGGCCAAACGCCGCTTAAATACTGATCCAAATAAACAGCATTTTTTTTTTCTCTTCTTGATCGAAACAGTCCGCATCGGGTAAAACGCAAATCGGCTTCGCAAGCCTATTCCACTTCCAGCCAATTTGGCGAGCCAACAAGAAAGCGCGCTCATCCCAAAGAAGTTTCGACGCTAGGGTTTCTTCTTGCCTGGCTTCGCGATTAGCAGAATTTCTTACTGGAGCTTGAATCAGAGGGCTTTAGACGGATTTTGATCATTTTGGAAAGCTCTTTTGTTTTTAAAGGATTATTCCACCGGCAGAGTTCGATTTCTTAATCGGAGAAGATGGTATATAGCTTTACCCTATAGACGGATTTTGATCTCTTAGTGTATTGAGTATAGTTCTATCATTGGTCTAGTGTCTGTCTTTTTTCTTCTGGTTAATCCTGTTTTTTTCCTCTATTGTTGCTACTTTCCAGCTTCCTCTCTCTCTTTTAAAGACAGCGCTGGGGCATCCTATGGTGAGAGCATTAGGGTTTTCGAGGATCATTGATTTGCAGTCTTTATTCCGTACTTTAATGTTGTTTTTGTTTTTGTTGCTAATTTCGTTGTGTTATAGCTAGTGGAGTTGAAGAATGGGGAGACTTATAACGGGCATCTGGTGAATTGTGATACTTGGATGAACATTCACCTCAGGGAGGTCATTTGCACCTCAAAGGTGATCGTTTAAATCATGCGAAATACTATTGTCTAAATTTGAAAATTCTTATATGGTTCTGATGGATTGCAGGATGGAGACAGGTTTTGGAGGATGCCTGAGTGTTACATTCGTGGGAACACAATCAAGTACCTTAGGGTTCCCGATGAGGTGTGTAGTGAAACTCTATAAGTCTGTTTTCTAATTCTATATTCTCTTCTAATTTGTTTTCTGTTCTAATGCATAGTAGTTTTATTGATTAATCATGCTATTAGGAAATTAAAAGTGTTGATTTCTCCCTTTTTTCAGTTATCGACAGTTATAATTGCAGTTGTTTTTCCAATTGAATTAGCATTAGTGCTTAAAAGTTTTGTTTATGCCCTTGTTGACTGTAGCTTGATTACTAAGAATTATCAATTTACTAGCATAATAAATCGAAGGTGGGCATAAGTTTAACTACAATAAAATCATGGTTTAAAATTGAGCAATAGGAGGCATGCTTGATGCTTACACTTGTTGAGTAGTACATGAGGCTTACATCTTATATAATATGAGGCATGCCTTGGTTACTATATGAGGCTTATGCCTCACCTAATGTGAGGTGTGCCTCTCACTTAATTTTGTTGAGGCTTGCGTAACTTGATCTGACGTTTTCTTTAAAATAATTATGGTAAAATACCCCATACTTAAATAATTTACAAATGAGGATATAATTGAAGTTGTTACTACAATATAGTCATTGTTTGAAAATCCAATAATTATATTTATTTATTATTGTTGATCTGATATGGGGTGGATGATTGAGATCAAAGATGATGATGAATGAGAAAACATGAACACAATTGGTGATTAATTGGGAGAGAGAAAATCGTTAGTCAACCATTTTTGTAAAAACTCATCGAGTGATGAGAGTAACGAGACATTTGATTTTGGAAATACTAGTCTTTGTATGTTTTTACTTTAATTAAGGGAAGTTGGAGTGGGAGAGAAAGGCTAGTTATATAAATTTATTTTAAATTAGTTTGCTAAAATGTTTTACTTTGATATTTATATAATCCTTCTTAGTTTATGCTTAAATGTCTGGATGTTAACTTTTTTACTTATTTATGCATTTTACTAATTTTAATCTTTTATTATATTCAAATGTTAATATGTTACTTTTTAATGTATTAATATATTATGATGTTATTATATAATTTCTTATTTTATATATTGAACTTAGTACAATACTTCTTACTTTCCACAATTCATTGATTTTGATGTATCTTATTCTGCATAATTTGTTGATTTTGGGACTTACTCTTCAAAACTTCTCAAGGCTTATGTCTTGCCTCATGGACGGAAAACGTTATAATACACAATTGTCAAATTTTGAACTTTGAATGAAATAATGGGTTAAAATTACCCGGTATGAGGCATGTCTTGAGGCTCGCCTGGACATTTTTCTTAGAAAAATTTGCAATAACTCCTTAGGTATTACATGATATTCGCGCCTCACCCAGTGCAAGACATATCTTAAGTTGTGTCCTGCCTTAGTTCTTGTGAAACATGCACAATTAAATTTAGTGTTTTCTTTAAAGTAAACATAAAGAAAATAATACTAATAAAATATTCCTAATGAACCCAAATAATACATGATTAATGATGTGATTGTAGTTGTTATCATCAACATAATCATTTTTAAAAAAAATTAATAAATATTCTCATCAATTATTATTTTATTAGATAAAAGGAAAATGATTGAGATTGAAAATGAGAAATAAGAGAACATGGATACAATTGAGGATGATGTGAGAGAAAAACAAATCATTATGGATGATTTTATTGAAGATCTATTGAATGGTAAGATTTTGTGGGCTTTTGAATTCAAACTTTTTGTCTTGATGGCTTGTTATGTTTTTACTTTGATGGGGGATAATTGTATTTGGTGTGAGAGCAACTATATTGGACTCAGTTTAAATTATTATGTTGTCTTACTTTGGTGTTTGTACAACCCTTCATATTTCATGATTTGTTGTTTGGTTATTAATATGTTGTTTCATATGTGAATAATTTGTTCTTTTACTATGCTAGGTTGGTAATGTATTACTTTTTATTGTCTCAATAGGTTAAGATGTTACTATATTACTTCTTTACACTATGAACTTAGTACAATACTTCTTTCTTTGCATTTTTTTGATTATGAAGCTTACGCATCAAAACTCCACGAGGCTTATGCTTTTTCACATGGAAAAAAAATCCGTCAATATCAAATTGTGCGATTTTAAACTTTGGAAAGAACAATATATAACATTAAAGAAAGGCATAATATCTTCAAGTTTAGCTAACATTTGGTATCAAACTCCTTCTGTTTATCTCATTGATACACACACACACTCACACACACACACTCACACACACATTAGCCATGTCTTAAATGTTTGGCACACCCATAAGCTTAAATTTTGTGTTGAATATTGTTTTAACCACTCGTGGATCTACCTTATCTTTGGTCTATCTATTTCACTATTTTTAATAAGTCACAACAAAGTCCATTATTCGATTGAGATTGAGCAATTCATATGTTTTTGGCTTCTAAGAGTCTTTGTTATTTTTTTACCATAGTTGAATAAGATTTAGTAGTGACATGTGATTGACTCATATGTTGCCCTACTTTTTATGATTTTAAAAATGCTTCTACTTGTGGGATGTGAGGGCAAATATGAGAAGCTCATAAAAGATGGTCATTATTAAAGTAATTTAGAATATTGGATTTTGTTTCTAATTTAATATTTTAAAAATATATCGGAATAAAAATGCAATAACTGTTATGATTAAATTTTTAGTGGAAACAAGTTTGCACACAAGTACATAAAACTTAACATTTCCCATTTTGTTTCGTATTACTACGAGGTGTGTATTCTATCCATTTGTTGTAAATGTCCAAACTACTATTTTAGATTTCTAAACTTCGATAGATGTTAAATTGGTCCCACAGTTAAACTGTTTAACATTGGCTTATTTAATTCTCAATATGTAGATCAATGCAATATACTTCTTTTGATTGTAATTTTTAAAATTTAATCTTTTTGCCTTTGCCTTTTTCATGCTGTTCTTGAGGCATTTCTCCATTATGACCCACTTAGTCTCTAGAAGTCATGTGGTTACTCTTCTATAGAATATATGAAAGATACTTTAAGTTATTATACTTAATGCATTAATGTATCTACTAGTAATATTCTATGCTATTTAGTGATATATCACACCCACTAAATTGTTCATTATATACTTAATTTTGTTCTACTAGTTCTAAAAATTTTGTTTTTTTTTTAAATTTTTCTCCATTGTTCTTAGTGTCATGGTTTTTTAATGGCGGCCTTATCATTTAGCTTTATGTCATTTGTAAAAAGCATATAACATGAAATATATTTGGTAATTTTTTTTGTAAGAATCTTCTTTTCTTGAGGAATTCGCTTCTCATTTCTTAATTTCCACCATCTTATCTTATTACAAAATGGTCTTTTAAGTGTTCTCTTTTTATTCCTAAGGTATAAATATATTATCATTTATGTTGTGTGTTCAAACATTCTTTTGGTACCACCTTATAACCTTTCCAAATAATTTTTCTTTCTTTCTTAGTCAGCAATAATGCATTTGCAACTTGGTCATTCTAATTTTGAAAGTAATTTCGTACTACACTTGTTTCTTAAAGTATGTGTTCGCTATTACAAGGTCATATGATATTACAAAATCAATTATAGCTTTTCTCATCTTATTTTGCTTCCTATTTTATACCCACCATGAATCCTCTAATAACCCATCCTTCTAGAATATACATGTTCATTTTAGTCACCTCTAATAGTTTCACTCTCCAATTTATTGTTTAATAATACGTCAATCTCTCTAAAAAGTTATTTTCTTTCCATCTCTGTTCAAGTTAGGGAACCAAAGAGCTAACAACATAATTTTTTTCTTGTTAATAAACTTGATGACTGCAATAGGCCTATTTAGTTTGTTGAAAAAAGAATGCAACATAAAAGAATGTAGTGTAAAGCTGATATGTTGTATTTGGAATATTTTAGAATTGTTTGGTTTAATGTAAAGTAAATACATAACTTAAAATTTTTTTGTTTGGTTTGAAGAAAAATGATATGAATGTATAATACATTTGCTAGCGGTGGTGATGACTAGTTGGCGATGTGCCGGTCAACTTTTTTTTTTTTGATTAATTATGAAAATATGGTATATGAAAAAAAATTCTGTACCAAAAAGCAGATTAAGCTAACAAATATGAAGCATTTTTACCTCAGCTAACCACATCATTAATCTCAGCCTCCATGCTCCAGTAAGTTTAAAATCCTCAAAGATGGCCATACTAAAATTTGCCAATTAGATTTAACTTAATTGTTTCATTGAGATCATTAACCTCTTGTGGAGAGAAGATGATGGCAGCCTGGCAGGTTCCCCTACCTTCAATCCTAAGGGATTGACAAAAGGGCAAACACCCCTCCCAGTAGAAGCATCAAAACCACTTCCAACAACTTCAGAAAACTAGAAACTAGAAAACCCCCAACCAGCAAAAGAACCAGAACTCAGATAGTGGATGAAATAGCAGCAGAACCCCAAGAATCAAATAGAGCAGGAAACAAAAAAACAAGCTCCAAAGATGAAGCAGACAAAGCCAGTCCAAGGCCAAAACCTGGAGCAAAAAATGGCTAGATACTAACAAAGGTTCAAAAGAAGTCTTCCCAGGCAAAACCCAATTAAACTCCACAACCCACAGAGATCCCTTGAATTAAAAACAAGGTCATTTACCCAGTTCCACAGCACTTCCAAGCAGATCAATCACATCAAAACCCTAGCAGAGCAAAGCTAGTTCCAGCCGACACCATCTTGTTTAAAATGGTTGCAAGATTGTTTTGCCTTACAAAATTAAGAGTAAGAATAACCATCTAAGACATCATTTTATATTCTTATCTTAAAATGGTTGCAACAAACTAAGAGATTTGTGACATCCGTTTGGTCTGCGAACCTTTTATATATGACCGACAAATTCCCCTATTTAATACAAAGATTAAATAGGGTTTATTTTACCTGGGTTCCAAGTTCCCTATAGAGGCAAGCCCCTATAGTTAATTACATCTCAAATGACGGGAGTCATTTGAGAAAACTCTCGATAATGATCAATGGTT